ATAGTGAGGTGCGCTCTATATGGTCCATAAAATACAGTACATCCACATTAGAGAACATGCAGCATCGTCCACACAGAGGTACATCATCCCCAGTAAGAAGGTGGATGGTGGCAGCATCGTGGGGATGTTTTTCTTAAGCCCGGGTACAGGAGCTAGTCAAAGTTGAAATGAAGATGGAGCTGCTAATAGAGAAAAAAATTTAAGAAATCCTGTTAGCGAATATAGAGCATTCAGACTTGGACAAAGGTCCACCTTCCAGGAGGAACAAGCATAAACATGAAGTTAAATAGGACGGTCTAAAGCAGTGGTCTCCAACCCTGGTCCTCAAGATCTACTGTCCTACAGATTTTAGATGCATCCCTGCTTCAACACAGCTGAATCAAATGAATGGCTTGAAAAGGTAATCATTCATTTGATTCAGCTGTGTTGAAGCAGGGATGCATCTAAAATCTGTAGGACAGTAGATCTTGAGGACCAGGGTTGGAGACCACTGGTCTAAAACATGTTGCTGTCTTAGAATGGTCCACACTACATCCGACTTATATTAGGCAGCGAGACAAAAAATATGGTTAACTGATGCTCTTTATTCATAAGGCTAAGCTTTAGCCATATTTTGGAGAATACCAAAAAATGTTAAAATAAAGTGTCTTGGTGTGCAAAGCTCAGTATTTATAGCATTGATTCCAGGGGAATGAAGACGTATGTACAATGTCCAATAGTTTTATTTGTGAAAAAGGAAAACATATTATTTACACATTTCATAAATATAAGCCACCTTATTTTAATCAGCCACAAAAAAGTATAATAAATTATATTTAAATTTGGGATGAACGCTTACTGTTTGCACTGTAGAAGTAAACTAGACTCCACTGTAGCAAACAGACCTCGTTGGTTCTGTTTCAAACCATAACCACTGTACCACTTAATAGGAAGACTAAGAAGTAGAACTTGCAGCTGGTAGAGAGGTTGGCACATACACTATATTGCCAAAAGTATTTGCTCACCCATCCAAATTATTGGAATCAGGTGTTCCAATCACTTCCATGGCCACAGGTGTATAAATTCAAGCACTTAGGCATGCAGACTGTTTTTACAAACATTTGTGAAAGAATGGGTCGCTCTCAGGAGCTCAGTGAATTCCAGCGTGGAACTGTGATAGGATGCCACCTGTGCAACAAATCCAGTCGTGAAATTTCCTCGCTCCTAAATATTCCACAGTCAACTGTCAGCTGTATTATAAGAAAATGGAAGTGTTTGGGAACGACAGCAACTCAGCCACGAAGTGGTAGGCCACGTAAACTGACGGAGCGGGGTCAGCGGATGCTGACGCGCATAGTGCGAAGAGGTCGCCAACTTTCTGCAGAGTCAATCACTACAGACCTCCAAACTTCATGTGGCCTTCAGATTAGCTCAAGAACAGTGCGCAGAGAGCTTCACGGAATGGGTTTCCATGGTCGAGCAGCTGCATCCAAGCCATACATCACCAAGTGCAATGCAAAGCGTCGGATGCGGTGGTGTAAAGCACGCCGCCACTGGACTCTAGAGCAGTGGAGACGCGTTCTCTGGAGTGACGAATCGCGCTTCTCCATCTGGCAATCTGATGGACGGGTCTGGGTTTGGCGGTTGCCAGGAGAACGGTACTTGTCTGACTGCATTGTGCCAAGTGTAAAGTTTGTTGGAGGGGGGATTATGGTGTGAGGTTGTTTTTCAGGAGCTGGGCTTGGCCCCTTAGTTCCAGTGAAAGGAACTCTGAATGCTTCAGCATCCCAAGACATTTTGGACAATTCCATGCTCCCAACTTTGTGGGAACAGTTTGGAGCTGGCCCCTTCCTCTTCCAACATGACTGTGCACCAGTGCACAAAGCAAGGTCCATAAAGACATGGATGACAGAGTCTGGTGTGGATGAACTTGACTGGCCTGCACAGAGTCCTGACCTCAACCCGATAGAACACCTTTGGGATGAATTAGAGCGGAGACTGAGAGCCAGGCCTTCTCGTCCAACATCAGTGTGCAACCTCACAAATGCGCTTCTGGAAGAATGGTCAAAAATTCCCATAAACACACTCCTAAACCTTGTGGACAGCCTTCCCAGAAGAGTTGAAGCTGTTCTAGCTGCAAAGGGTGGACCGACGTCATATTGAACCCTATGGATTAGGAACGGGATGTCAATTAAGCTCATATGTGAGTCAAGGCAGGTGAGCAAATACTTTTGGCAATATAGTGTATCTTGAAATAAAAAGCCCACAGCGTCTCCCCTAAAATATCAGCTTCAGGGTAACAACATCAAGGCTAAGAAATAGGGCTGATCAATTGATTCTGTTTCAGTGGTTGGAGGCTGCCACACACTTTAATTAGGCTGAAAGGCAAATAAAATCTAAATGGTTAACGAATGATTAACACACTATATCTGTTTCCTGTTAACTACTCCTGACAGTTTCCTTGTAAGATATTTAGTGAGGCCGACTTCCTGGAAAAGGGACGTCCATTTTTAGCAGACTGAGTCTTAGTGTTGACAGCAGACATGGACACACCATGAGATACTCTAAGCATAATAAGCTGGAGTGAAAATGCCACGGCTTCACCATGTCGCAATATTTACACCAACATTTCAAAATAAAATCATCATCAAATGTTTGCACATCATCCTTTTTTCCCCTCATTCTATTATTAATAGAGCAAAAATTGGAGTATAACCACATGATATCGTTTGGATAATATCTGTGTGCCAAAATGTGTCCTTGCCATACGAGTGAGAAATCTGGAATGGATTTTTCCAGCTACCTGACCGTGATGCCACATGGTTCCCTTGATTTACCTCGAAGTAGGTGTGATAATCAGTGGCGGTTGATAACTCTTACTTCCTGTTACAAATGGTACAAACCAATATACAAACAAGTCATGGAACGGCACCTTAAAAAATTTTATGATGGAAATGTGTATGTCTCTTACTAGAGATGCAACAATCTAGTGTCTGTATTCGCCCCACTAGATCACCATCAGTAAAAATGGACTTGATCCACAGGGGTGGATCTATACAGTCTATTTCAAGAACAAATCAAAGTTGGGATTTGATCTTTTGACCAGCAGGAAAGTTTATTAAATACAGCCAATTTTAAGCCTTACAGCTGCATATTTACCCTTTACTGTGGAATTTTTCCAGTTAACATGATTTACTCTTTTTTTTAATGACCAACTATCCTAATCTTAAGTAGCCATTTCAAATAAGCATGTGTATTTTTTCATACACATAATTGCTTGTATAGAGGAGTTTATGACAGCCTCTTGAAAAAAAGTCAGGAACAATGATGCTAACATTAAAGAAAACAGAGTTCTGGTATAGGAAAAGTACAGGTATCTGCAAATATATAAAATCAATGTATTGGAATAAGGGATGTTAACAGACAATATGCTTACAGTTATTTGCCGATTAATAGTACGTTAGATTATAATTTGTTTCATCCGATTGATTGATAACCTCGGCTTAAAATTATTTTCTTTTAGTGTTGCCTCAGTTCCTTAGAGAGATCCTAATGTCAATTTCTCTGATGTGCACCTAAGGTGAAGATTTGAGGATAGAAAAGTGGAGGGCATTATGCAAAATGTTTCTAACATGAAAGAAAAAGAATTGCAAGCAATTAGCATGGTATATGCACAAGGTTTATGTTGCGTTAATGCACTTTATGGAGCCAACATTTAACATGCCTGTGAGAGCAACCAGAACCACCTTTGGAAAAATGCTGCTAAAAGCACAAAGTCTCTCCCAGCACTGAATGCCGGATTACACACACACACCAAAAAAAAAAAGCTGTATCACATCAAAAAGAAGTTGGAAATAGTCTGACATAATGTCAGAGAGACACGCCAAGTTTTATATTATAGCCTAAGATGTAACATTAACATTAGTCATAATAACAGTTTCACTTTTTTCCATCCGTTTCTTTATTATGTAACTTAAGGTTTTATATATTGATAATGAAATATTGACCAGACCCACTGCTGGCATAATAAATAGTTAAAATATAGTGACATACTTTTTCTTTTTTTTTACTCAAGATTAAGGAAAATATTTGAGCCCTTCTTGCTATTGAAAGATGCTCTTGATACAAGATAAAATCCAGGTTTTTAAGGAAATAACCATTTGTCAATGAATCGTTAATCTATAGATTATATTAATCAACTTTAGATGGAATCCATTAATTGATAACTTGCATCTCTAACCTGAATCAGAAGCATCTGGTTTTAACTCCAGTTGCTGTCTTCCTGAGACTCATAAATGGACCAAAAATAAGGAGGAAAAAAGCTGCATAATAAATGATCCAATGAGTGAATCCATCTTGAAGGTGCTTATGCATGTTTTATGTAAATACTAGAAAAAAAGGAAAGAAGATGGTGATATAAGCATGGAGCTGTGGGTGGCAAAGACAAAAAAAAATAAAAAATCAAACAGGAAATCTTCATTTTACTAAACAGCTTTAGCGAAAGGCAACATATGTCACAGATATGCAGCGTTGGGGGAAAATAAATAACTGGGGTGACAAATTAAACACAAAGAAAAACAAATATTGTCTCAGCAGTGTGCATGAGTGGGCTCTGGTCAGTCCTGGGAACAGTCAGGGCTGTTCATCCTCTATCCAAACTCCAGCCCACTCATTATCAACCAGACCCTGGCAAGTGTGACCTCAGAAAAGTGACCTTACAATAAGAATAGTGAACAAAATGAATACTTTCCACTCACAGCACAAACTACAGTGAAAAACCATGCAAGGACCTGGAAGAGTGAGAAGCTCCCCAGCCTGCATCCAACAATTCATAATATTTGGGATTTTTGTTTGTTTGTTTGTATGGAATTAAAAACAAAAGTATTTTTTTAAAGGAGAGCCAGAAGTGCAATCTTTAAAAGTCCTCCTCACGCGTTTTATCTGCCAATGTGTCAGTTTTCCTGCAGTTACACAACTTGCAGAGCAATGTTGCAAGCAGTGTTGTGACAGCCTGTACTCACCCAGCAGCAGCAGTTTCACTTCTCTGGCCGCCTTCTCTCCATCTTCTCGCAGGTTTTTGTCAATCATTTTGGACCTCTCGGCCGCGGCTTTATCTTCCTGACTCACGGTGCAGCCCATGGTTCCCAGTGCGCGCTTCAGCTCTGCTTCTTATTGGGGAAGTTTACCAGAAAAAGAAAAGGAGTCTGAAATCCCCCCACTCTCCCTGCGCTTTAAAACAAAAACACGGACCGACGTTAAGCAAGAGTCGACTTCCCTTTTTGGCGATTAGCAACAAACGTGACGGATTTCGTTCATCTGCGACGAGAAAACGACGTTTATTTTGGGGGCTTTCTAAGCAGACAGCAATGAGTCACAGCTCAGGGTGTCAGCATTTGTTCCCTTTTAGTCCAAAATACTGCTAGAGTAACTTTTCTTGGTTAACTTTCCGCTAGTCCTTACAACCAATCATCGGAGCAGGTCAAACACACGAAAACGGCCCACGAAGTTCAGCATTCAGGGGAAAAAAGTATTCCAGCTGTTCAAAACCGTGCGTACGCAGAACCCCCCGCTGCCAGATAATCTACCCCGCCACCTTTTCCCGTGGGTTTTATCTGAGTAATTAGTAAATATTCGTCCTAATCCGTAAAGCCTTTGCGCATTCTTTCCCCGCGTAGAGATTTATCACATTTGAAGCCACACCCGTAGACGCCGTGAAGTTCCCCTCCGGTCAACAGAAGAGCGAAACAGCGCCGCCCGCCCGACACCGTCACAGCGCAGCATGCTACTGGGGCTCTGCTCCATTTCTACGCCGGCGCGGTCAAAGGAGGCGGTGAGGAGAAGGTGGAGTCTGACAAACTTTGTTTAAAAGAATAACATTAACAGCTGCAAAACAAAAAATCATAAGTACACAAAATCAAATATTAATTCATAGATTCCTTTATTTAAATAAGTAAAATACACGTATTGTGGATTAAAAACTTTTTTTTTGTTTCAAATGTCACCAGGCCAAGAGGCAACTTGATGGTTACATCAGAATCATACGGAGACCCTAAAGGGACAATGAAGAGAAATTAAAAAATATTATTTCTCGTGCGCAACAGATACTTTCTCGTGCGCTCCACTTAGTTTCTCGTGCGCACCACTTAGTTGTGCGCACCAGATACTTTCTCGTGCGCCCCACTTAGTTTCTCGTGCGCACCACTTAGTTGTGCGCACCAGATACTTTCTCGTGCGCCCCACTTAGTTTCTCGTGCGCACCATATACTTTCTCGTGCGCACAACTTAGTTTCTCGTGCGCACCAGATACTTTCTCGTGCGCCCCACTTAGTTCCTCGTGCGCTCCACTTAGTTTCTCGTGCGCACCACTTAGTTTCTCGTGCGCACCACTTAGTTTCTCGTGCGCACCACTTAGTTTCTCGTGCGCACCACTTAGTTTCTCGTGCGCTCCACTTAGTTTCTCGTGCGCACCACTTAGTTTCTCGTGCGCTCCACTTAGTTTCTCGTGCGCTCCACTTAGTTTCTCGTGCGCACCACTTAGTTTCTCGTGCGCACCACTTAGTTTCTCGTGCGCACCAGATACTTTCTCGTGCGCCCCACTTAGTTTCTCGTGCGCTCCACTTAGTTTCTCGTGCGCACCATATACTTTCTCGTGCGCACAACTTAGTTTCTCGTGCGCACCAGATACTTTCTCGTGCGCACCAGATACTTTCTTGTGCGCACCACTTAGTTTCTCGTGCGCAACAGATACTTTCTCGTGCGCTCCACTTAGTTTCTCGTCCGCACCTGATACTTTCTCGTGCGCACCACTTAGTTTCCCGTGCGCACCAGTTTTAGCTTCTCTTGCGTACTAGGTTTAGCTTCTCGTGCGCACCTGATATTGTCTCTATTTTTGTGTTTATGTTAAAGAGATGGCTGGCAGAGATTTAATAAACTTTTTGAAAACCCAAAATATTCCCGACAATGTCACCTAAAAACTGAGGGAATATAAGGTTTCTTAATCAATATACTAGGTTTGTAAAACATTAGCATAATATTTAATTACAGTGTTGTAATATCCTTTTAATATGCAGATTAGCAATAGCACGGCACTTGCCATCCCACCCTTCCGCTTCAATCAGACACTATTTAAATACTATTTTAGAGCTTTAAATAAAAGATTGATAGTTTGTCTGTGTGATCTAATTTTTACATTGATATTAACGCCATAAATGTGATGACCAACGAGGAGCTGGGACAATATATTGTGAAATATGGTGACCGACTCGCAGTAAAAGCATTTTGTCAACAAAGAGGTGAGACTTTCCAAACTCCAGGAGTGAACTCATGCAGCGAGTACGTAAAAACCTGACTGAACAGAGATTTGCTGGAAGCAGCAGACCGCGGCCTTTTGGCAATCAACATGCTGCAAAAGATATTAGACGGGTTGAAATTGGATGGCTCCATTTTAACAACAGAGATTTTCACCTGGTTCAAACAAGACATGGAGGAGGAACAAGACACTTGAGTGTCCAGAAAACTGTTAAATTGGGGGAACTGTTGGAAACAGGAAAAGGCCTGTTCTTTCCAAATGGAAAATCTCCCAAAGGGTCAGCGGAGGATTCTGTCTTTGACATAGGCTACGTGATTTTAGTCATGAGAACGTTCCACTTGAAAGCACAGTAAACCAACTGTATGAGCAGACAAAGGTGAAAATGTTGCGAATTTACACCTGCTCTCAGGAAAAGGAAAAAATATCTACTGATGAGCAGTTTTCATATATATCTTCGGATTTTGAGGACACAGAGGACACGCAGAGAAAGGCAATCAGTGGTTGTAACGTAATTCCAAATAAAAAGAATGCAGTTGGATCTAACGCATGTAATGATTTATTGTTTTCAACCATTAGCCATATAACTGAATCACAAAGCAATTAAAGTGTCATTGTTTCATTAGTGAAGTAAACTTGAAACGTTTTTAAAATGCTGTAATGGAACAACTGTTGATTTTTTTTTAACCCTGATTCAGTGCTGTTGCTTAAGGAACTCTTTCTATTCACATGGCAGCTAAATTTTAAAAAAACATGACAATAAATAATCAGTGTGTATGAACAATAGTGTAAAGCGTGTATAAGCCTGCTGAATAATAAAACAGCTTTTTATTAAAAATTATACATCACAACTTCTTCATTTAATACAGGACATGACAATCCAGAGGCAGTCTGCAAGGAAACGAAGAGAAAAATATCATGAAAGCACAACCAATGATCAAAGGAATCAACCATGGGCAGCCATCTATTTTCTTAACTGCATCCATGAAGTAGCCTCCAATAAACTTTGGGTCACTGCTGCTGGTGAACGCATTCATCCATATGATTTTTACTAGAAAATCCATCAATACAGCCATTTATGCACATTCCAAATGGTTTCAGTTTGTCATAGGAGTCCAAATGCCAGATGTAATTAGGCTCCTTTGCAAAGTAGTTGCGGCGATGAAGACGTCTGGTTCTCCTAAGTTCCACACCTCTTGGATCAAGTTCTTTTAATATAACATGGACCTCTTCTTTTTTTTTTTTTTTACCTTTAATCCATTCTCCAGACATTTGGTAAACATCCATCTATATCTGTTCAGCTGACCAGAAAACTTAAAAGGGTGCCTGAAATATTCTAGTGTTATGCTTTTATTTGCAATCTACTTGTCTCTGACTTTGAGGAAGGTTTCTTCCACGCTTCCCTTCCAGCTGTGAGATGTATGGGGGAGCTCTTGCAAATACAGCCAATAAGGAATGCACAGCACCTCAGCAAGATTAAGCATCAAATATTGTTATCATTTTCAGCAAGTCTATGGATTTATTAGTATGAAAAGAAAGCTGCACCATGCTTGATGCTCAAGTTCTACTTTTTGCTCTTTCACGAATCATTTCACATTTAGCTCAGTCATCAACTGGTCTATCATAGATTTCATGTTTGATTCTATTAGCTGACCAGGTCCTGCTTCATAAAAGCTCACCTACATCCTTGATATTGGGGATGTCCTGATACACTTTTTCATTTTCGATACGATAGCAAGCAGCTTTGAATATTGACTGATACCAATATTGACTGTATGCAATATCAACACAAACTAAGTTTACTTTTCATCATTTTTATTTTGTAGAGTAAAATATTTTTAAAAGGCATGATTAAGCAACATTACCTACTCAGATAATGGTAAACAACAAAAGTAGGTAAGAGAGCAACTGAAGCATTTATTTTTAACCAGTGGGTTACATAAACTTTAAATAGAAGTGGTTTGTTTCTATCAGCAGGCTAATATCAGATATATAGATTTATTCTGCTTTTACTTTTTTGGCTGTTATAGGACACATGTCCATATTAATATCCAATCATGACATACCAAGATGATATATTTGGTACTTCCTAGAATCTGACTTCTCTGACCAAAGAACATTATTCTTGCAGTCATTGTCTTGGTATAACTTCTTTTTGGCAAATATCCGTCTTCTTAGTTTTATTCCTGGATTGCATCCTTTCTGTCAATTTTCCTAAGAAAGCAGCAACACCTATGAAACCAAAACGTCCAGACTATACATACATGCACTTTAATATGGTGTACAGGTGTATATAGCAACTTTTTAAGGAGTTATTATATTTTTTTTGTTTTATATGCTTAAAACTAAACCATTTGAACTGCAGAGTGCAAACTGAGCGTGCAATTAAATCTATAGTCTTTGTTAAACCTTTTCAGACAAATGCCCTTCACATATCCAGAGGAGAGTATGTTCAACATGTCCTTAATTACTCTAAATGCACATGTATCTTTTGAACCACTGATGACACATGTGCAAATGCATAACCTTGTGTTTTAAGTCGACACTGGCTCACTCTGTCAAGTTTACAGGTTTACTTTTCTTCTTCTATCCATTTTATGAAATGAATTTAAGAATGTTTTGTAAAAATTTTTAGTTTTTTCATGAACAGCTGCACGTAAATGTTTGTGACAGCGCCATACCACTCTGGTTTGTGATCAAGTCTAGTCATGCCCAGAGTTAGGAAGCAGCTCTTTCAATGAGGTTGTCTTAGAAAAAAAAAAAAAAAAAACACAAAAAAGGAAATAGGTTTTGAATGACCTTTTAAACCCTGTTAACTCTTAATTTGTTTGCTGGAACTTTTTACTGTGATTTTGTCGAAATTAAATTACTGTTGTATTTTCTTAAGTTCTACCTCAATGAATCGCAAAAACATGTTAAGTTCAGGCAAGTTAAATTGTTCTGTCAAAATAATTAAGTGTTTTAATACATGCAAGCCCAACTTGAAAAGCAGAATACACTGAGCCCAAATTAGCATCTCCCAATAAACAAAACACAAAGCAAATAAAAAAAAAAAAATCAAATCATTTTTACCAAGCTCTGCAGCGCCATCTTGTGGTAAATCAGGGTCTGACGTCCCAGACAGAGACTGGCTAAGAGGAAATTGCAAAAACAATAAAAAAATAAAGTCGTTCATTATTTAAGAGCTATGGATAAAAAAAATCTTAAAATGACATTAACTCATTCCCAAGTTAGAAGAAAAACACACGCTCACATGGCAGAAATGAAGAAAGGAAATCATATTAACTCCATTTTCTTTATTGCAACATCATTTACAGAACAATAACTGCCAGCAACATATTAAAATATAGAGCGATACATGAAAATAGACATCAATCGAAGGACGAGGTTTAAAAGCACTTTGAAAATGATTGCATATACTTTTTTAATCCGACTAAATCTTTAATATCT